AATATAACCGGAACGCATACGCAAGGTGGTTCCATACCATTTGGGAGAAGAGCGCGTCCGCAGCCCGCGAAGACCACCTTCGCCTTCGAAAAGGGCGCAGAAATGAGGCTGGAGCGTAGTGAAAGGTGGTTGCCGTTTGTGTCTCCACCCGACGCCCACAAGGCGCAGCACGCGCGTCAATGGCGAGGTCCTGTAGCGAATAGTATGAACGGCAAGCTGTCTATCGCGACCAATTGTGGAGCTCAACAGCTCATGCGATTGGTTTGGCTAGGCATATAGATGATGGTGCGGTGCGTGACGTGTCGCGCTTTGCCTGTGGATGAGGCCCCAAATGGCTACTGGTACACTCCAGCCTCAATTCTCATTTTTTTAAGAGACGGACCCATTCATTTCGCACATGGCTAGGGCCTGGACCCTCAGAGGTGAAAGTGAAGGGTATCCTCAAATATGAAACTACAAGAGTAACAGAAAGTATTAGTAAAAAGGCAGGAGCTTAACAACCAGACAGAGAAGTAGGTAAGTAAACAGAAAGGTAAGGAAAATTACACGAACTAATAATTGCGCCTAGTAGGACAGAGACAGAAGATGACAAAGTGTAAAAGGAAAAATGAATTTCATACCAAGCAAAAGTGAAAGGCTGAAACGGTACAGGTAATGATGTTTTCGGCGCTAGACTCTTTTGGGATACGCCGCGTACTCGACCCACATTTAGACAGACAGCGACATTTTGAGTGCGATTTGACCTATGCAATGAACTGCGTGGTCGGCTGTTATACGGCGGTGATTTGATTTACCAGACAAATCTGGTACCTTTACCATCCCAGATGTAGCCTCGAGAGGGACCTGATCCTGGAATGGATAGCGGCTCATGCACCTGGTAAGCTGCGCCATTTCCAACGTCCTGAGAAGGCAGTGGGAAAGGCGAAGGTGGGAATGAAAATGACACTACGAGACCGGAAATATGAGAGAGAGACGGATGAAAAGAAAGAGAAATTATGGAGAGACCACCAAAGGGAGATCCGGGATAATAACTTTAGAAAACTGCTGAGAGACAGAGAAACAGAAAGGGTTACTGGGGAAACACTGGCGAAGCGAAGGCCACATAGAGGCGCTAAACAAAGGGTGGAACCGTGGGGTAATCATTGGTTGAGTTGCGCCATCACGTTGAGGGCGAGAATTCCACCATTTCAGGAAATCCCACGGCCATCCTTCAAGGTGCTTCAGCATTATTCGTGGGAAACTGAATGGTGATCACTCCTCGCTAAGGCTTTTTCAAGTTCGCCTGCTGTAAACCTCCTTGACTGCCCTAATTGGATAACAGGGAGGTGGAAAATCGAATACAGAATCGTGCCAAGTTGCAGTACGATCCCGGTATAAGGAAACAACCGTGCATGGATCAATAAAAGTAGCGGTTTACAGTAGGAGTTGTAGGTAACGCTGGTTACTCGTAACTTCACATGTAAGCAAAATTTTGAATACCACTAGCTGTCATCCGAACAGAAATGAACGTCCTCTTGTCCACAGCGGTGCCGGATACACCAAAAAAACTTTTATTTCGAATGCAAGGCGTCAAAGTAGTGGGGTGCGCAACTAAACGGGCCTCCAATCACTGCTCGTCGCGTCGCGCGGCGTATAAAAGGTCGTCTCGAGTAAGAAGGGAGGGAGGGAGGATTCAAGGAGCAGGAGCGCGTTGCTGAGGAAGATGTTTTCGCTGCTGTTACAAACTTGTAGCAGCCTAGAAAGCTATACCAAGAGCACGATGTAGTTCAAAACAAGGGCCAGATCAGGCCTTCTGGAGGTGTCAAGTTTCGAAGGGAAATTTCCTTACTTTGTCCCACTATTCATTCGCGTCGCAGTTAGTACCCACCCCCAAACCGTGTATTTGTCCTGCCGATCGCAGCGGACAGAGGACGAACCGCCACTCAATCAATCATCACACAAATAAATCTAATAACCACTCTATCGACTGGGAGCATGTACGGGAGCTCGCAGGACGGGAAAAATCAATGATCTAGAAAACTCAGCGACCAATAATAGCCCCGATAATTCCTCCCATGTACATATGTTGACTATGCTCCATGATGTGGGACCATTTTCTCTTTACAAAAAGGAGCTTCAAGATACGCTAAGTCATTAATTCCACGAGAAGTGCCAGGAAGGCCGTCGGCCCTAGCTACTACTTTTGTCTGCAATTTTAGCGTCCATTATTTCAGAGGAAAAGAATGGGCGATTTCATTCCTGGGTTCTGTTTCCCTCCAGAACTTTCAATGGTTTAAATGTTGTTCAAGTAACATGAGATATAGAATGATTCCCTGGAAATGGACTAGAATATGAATTTTGTAGGGGATATTGAAGTCTAGTATTGAGAAAAAAGTGGTGATAGATGAATGTAAGTAGGTGGCGGGCTGGGTGGTACTTGCGTCGTCAGACAAGGACTTTGTGACCGTTTACGATTCGTTCAAATATTTGCCCCTCCTAGATTCGACAAAAAGGAGCTGCTCGGAGTCATCACGGCGATGGCAAGTACATAATGGTTGTAATAAAAGGTTTACATATGAAGTAAAATGACCAGTTTCACCACAATAATCGCGGGCAGGAGGAGTGTGCTCGATGTGGGTCACATAAGTGGAACGCGAACGAGGAGGCTGCCCATTGAATGTTCGTGGGATTGAAAGCGCGGAGACCTCGCCAATTACAGTCTGGTGCCTAGGGAACAGTACTGCACAAGAACTCGAGGGATTCTATAGAAGAAATCGTTGACAATAGCGTCATTGTTATCCTGCGCTCAATGACACCGGCGCTGGCCTGCACTGGCGAGGAATTCGGCACTTTGAGTGAACACGCGATTTTTAAATAGCAGTTTTGTGGCAAAACAATGAGTCGACTTATTTTTGGCTTCCTTTCTTAGAATCCTCTGGGTTACTCCAAGAAAAATGGTTTCGAGATAGAGCCGGCTGGCACAATGTTCAATGGGCACGGCTACGTGAGTGATTCAAATTTTCTGTATGGTCCTATTGCAAAAACCCTGTGCACAGACAGGTAAGAGGAACCAGGGCACATCGTTCATGGGGATTCCTCAACAGGGAGGTCGTATTTGGTCACTGGGAGAGGGTATCGTATTTCGACTGAAAAATTTTTTTGGTGGTTGGTTTTACTTGTTTCACGAACGTAAGGGGGGGCGCACTTGTTCGATGTTGGGAGGGGGGGGGGTCATATTTGCCTTCTGAGAGAAATCCGCGACGTAAATATCGTGGTTGTTGGCATTTCGCGGTTTTTTCTGTTTCACGTGTGCTATGTACCCCCGCTCGACAGAAAATTTTTTGGGTAAAAATAGGAAGAATCTTCGGGGAATTCGAGAAAGGAAAGTCCAAGAAATGGTAGGTAGGATGGGCAGGGGGTGGTCGTATTTTCCTCATGGTTTTCTTGACAGCCCGATGAGGAGGAAACCAGCGGGAGGTCGCGCCAACCCCAAAAGAACTGGGGGGGGGGTCGTACGGACTCGACCAAAATCCCCAACTAATGATATATCCTGAAGAGGACTGCCGCTGCTAAAGATCGATTGGTGCGAAAGAACATGCTGGACAAGGCACCCTTTTCCAAGGAAACGAGAATCCAGGGTGTGTGGGCCACTCAGCGTGAAAAGCTGGGTTTTGTGAGGCTACAGTTTTCCCAGAACGTCGTGCAGACGAGAAAGCACTGAGGAAACAGATTGCGGAGACGAGAGAGCACAGAGAAAAACGGAAACTTGGCGCGATTAAGGGCTTATGTTGAAGCTGTCCGTGGACCAACACGGTCTATAGAACAATTTTCGCAAATGTCAAGTAAACCCTCCCTTAACTCAGTAAATTTTCGTAGCAACAGTTTGCAGAGGCTGAACGCGAATTCACAGAATCGTCGCTCTGTCAACATATGAGTCAAGCGTACAGTCAACGGTGAATCTAAATAAGGTCTGATTCCACAGCCATAACAAACTGGTAAATAAAGGTTACCCCATCCATATACTCCTCAAATGTGCTTTAAGTAAGGCCTCGCGGCCCCTAGAAGCCCTAGATTACAATTCGGTACAATTACTCCGACAACGCGCCCTGCATATTGAGCTCGCGACGCGACAGCGCGCGAACAACGGAACGTTACTGATGCTGAACCTGGCTAAATGAAACCTTATTATTATTGAAGCCTACATAATCTACTTTCAGAGCATGTCCTCTGCTTATATTTTTAGTCACAATTCTCATATATCTGATTCGGAATGGATTTCAGGATGCTGTCCCGTATGGTGATATCGTCGGCTCGAGCTGGAGCTAGTTCTCAACTACTCAATGCTCAACGTTTTGCAGTTACTGCCGCGGTACCCACACAGGCAGTCGCCCACAAACTGAAGGTATCCTCCCGATCAGACGATTTTGGCCATATTCATTCGTTTACCATTTTTAAGGTAACAATAATCCCTGGTGATGGTGTTGGACCAGAACTCATTTACACTGTGCAGGATATCGTTAAAAATACGGGAATCCCTCTGGATTTTGAAGGTACCCAACTTGTAGCTATATTTAACTTTTTTTTCTCAAATTCGTTGTTTTACACATTCTCGGCTACCGTCTAAGTGCACGTGCAAAGCGGAAGTTGATCTACCTTTTCGGCCTCCGCCATATTTCTCAGTTATTCAATTTTTCAGCTTAGTCAAAGAGTTTTCATTTTCATTGAGTTTTGTTTATACAGTCTTAAGCTACTGTTTTCATCTATATTGATGCCCTTTTCAAAAATCACTTAGCTATTTGATTACCTTTTGTTTCGAGTTTGTGCGAGAGACATAATGCGCGCTACTGCGCAGAAAAGTAATAACAAATGAAAATAAAACGCTTATAGTTTCGCTTTTATTGGAACTGGCCGCAGCTTTCACAATTTGCGCTGTCAACCCTTCAAGACCTCCCAAGTGTTCCCTCGGGTACGCGAGGCAGTTCCTGTGGAAGACAGCTCATTGGTAGGAAAATTCTCCACCCATTCCTCCCCGCTCCGCCTTCCCCCCCCCTCCACCCCTTCACCTGCATCGTATTCTCCCAGGAGTACCAAAAGCTGCTGTATAGGGTTGTGGTCCATGTTTAGCTAGCGTACTTCATCACCGAAACTTCAATTCTAGGGTGCAGAACCGGTTCTTCTCGCCTAGCGCCTGTTTGGGGACTTTGCTGCTGCTTTGGAAGTAGTTTTTTCTGCCACGTTTCATCTGCTATGCTCGCACTTTTACATAATTTGTTGAAAATTTCAGATAAAGGTCTACAAAATGCGTTTCTCGATTTGCGCTTTGGCATTCCCCTGCCCCATACTGGTCTATTTTTATGATGTAAACCAGACCAGTTTTACTTATAACTCTTCACAAAACCACCTATCAAATTGGTTGAATAAGTTTGATATTCAATTTTAGGATTGAATAAGCTCCCGAATATGTGGTTTGAATAGTTCTGAATGTTTCAAGGCACAGTTATTCAGAGAGTGAATGAGATTGCCCTAAGTCATTGTTCTTTTTATTGAATAGCCATCAGGGTTAATTTCTCAAGAACTACTTCCTAACTCTTGTAGTTGCTTCCAAAAATCAAAATGAAATGTTATTCAACAGTTGAATTTCCAAATTTTCAAGAGCTTATGGTACTAGTCGTATTATATACCATGATACATTAAAGTTTAACGTTCGATGCATTCCAGATTTTTTTTTGAAAATTGTCTGAGAGCGTGTCATTGACTTTACTACTTTAAAATTGGTACTTCAGAAGTCTTTCTCTCCGAAGTGCATTACACTCGATCGTCATCTATAGAGAATGCAGTTAAATCTATTGCTCGGAATAACAATGTTGCTCTCAAAGGTACATCTTTTTTTGTTTTCGAACTTTCAAACAAAATTTTTTTGCTGCTGTTGAGCTTTTTTTTCAAGGTGCGATCCAAGAATCTGCTGTTCTCCATACGGAAGGCGAGCTTAGTGGACTTAATATGCGACTACGTAGAGCTCTTGATCTGTTTGCTAATGTGGTTCATATAAAGGTAATTTTTTATGGGAGTAATATTGCCATTTTCAGGAAACTAAACTTGGAATTCTAAATTTTTCATTCTCTTCACCTGTAATTGACTTGTTTATTTTACTCTCTATTTCCCTGTTGCCGCTATTTGGCTTAGGAGGTACAAGTTGTCCTTTCGCTTGTTCCTGCTAAGCTACGCGCATCCTTCCTTGGCGAGACCTGGGCTCTTATCAAGTTCAAACGAAGCTCCTGGCGCTGCTTCAGTCGGCAGGGTCGATGGAGCCAGGAAAATGTCCCACCAAGCAGAACTGCCTCTACCTGGTCATTACTAAATTCTCTCTTAATGAAGCGAAAACGCATGTAGAAGTGGGGACTGGTCGTATATAGGTTAATGAGACAGATTCGTCCCGTGTGGCAGGATTTCTACCTAAATAATGAAGATTAGGTTCTTTGGCGTTTACACATTGTCGTAATGCCTTCGATTGCTTTACACATGCTTTTGATAGCTCTCGTACCTTTGGAATGGTTAAAATAAGTCCATTCTTCTTAGCGGTTGTTCTACCTGTGAAAACTCGCACACCAACTTCCCCTTTGTTGTTTTTTGTTTATTTTGTTTGTTTGAGCGTGAAAAATTTTTCACGCCTTGTCCGCTTTCCTTGCCTCTTTCCTTGTTATTAAAATGAGGCGCCGTTCAGCGATAGAGGGGGAGGGCATTTTGCACTTTCGATGCTTCCCGTCGTCGCGTTTGGTGCTTCACAAAATTGACAGACAGGCAAGAAAAGATTTGCAGAAGTTGTCAAGTACTTTCTACATTTCTTTGAAGTTGTTTTATTATGATGCCTTCGGCCTTGCGGTGTAATGCCGATATCTAACGATTACGGCTGACCGGCTCACCGTGCTAAAGACAGCTCTCGCGATAAAAGTGTCATGATAGTTGCTTTTCAGTTATGAAACAGTAGCTGATAAGTAATCCCCGAAGAAGAAAAAAAGCAAGAAGAGTCCTCAAGAACACCATAAACAAAATCGCTCCCTCACAGTCACACCTCCCTGCGGTCTCTGTGCAACCCCTAGCTCACAAATCTCTCTATCACATCTCGCAGTAGTTGATATCATCCAGTGCAAAAAAAGAATACAAAAAAACAACAAAAACACAGAGAAAAACCCTTGAAAAGAAAAAGAAATTGTAAGCTCGGCGCCCGAATTTAGGGTTACGGTGCATGTTTTAGTGTAGTGAAGTGCGTCGAGCTTTTGCACCACGAAAATTGGGTCGCTCGTGATTTTTACGCGTTTTACCTTGCGAGATGGGTTGAAGTGACTGTATGTGCCCCAATGAATAAAATGTAATGAAGGAGAGCAGAATCATTTATGGGCACGAGCGCGGTCAGCAAAAAGGCATGCAATTCCGATTAATGCCCGCCGCCCCAACAAAGAACAACTGAGCGGCCCTCCGTCAGAGGGCATCTAGCAAGTGGGCGGTCCAACTGAGCGGGCGTTAGAACTAGAACTTTCAGCGGCTGTAGCTCGCTAATCGCTCGCTGTGGAGTTGCGAGAGTGGGACAGTCTCTAGCTTGGGGGCTGTACTACTTGCACAAGGAAGGACGACCATGTACTACTCGAGCGCGGGGGCTGTCTTTAAACGTGTGAGTGCTGTAAGGTTACAGCAAAGCCGTTAAGCTGAGAGGGTAAAAGCGGCCCTGGTGGCGTAACGGATAGCGCACTCGCCCGGAAAGCGTGAGGTGCGGGTTCGACTCCCGCCTGGGGTCAGACTTTGCCCATAAATTAGGATCCCTGTGATAACTTTCTACAAACTTTGACTGCCATCCCTTATAGTTTCACCAGTTTTCACAAATCTTTACTTGATGGCTCGACACAAATATGGGAAGCAGGGAATAGTGCAAAATGTCCCTCCCCCCCCTCCCGGACTGCGCCCCATTTTGTTTCATTTTATAACAAAATTTCCATCATTGAAAAGGTCCAGCTCCTCATATTGCTCCATTATATTTTTCTAGGCTCACCTTCTACCCTTTTCTAGTGTACTTTGGTGAGATTATCCTTTAGGACTAAAATATCGAACTGAACTTTGCGGTAATTGACTCGTTATTCTAGTCGTTGGATGGTATCAAAACTCGTCATGGAAAGAATCTCGATTTCGTCATTGTTCGAGAGCAGACAGAGGGAGAGTACTCTAGTTTGGAGCACGAGTTGGTTCCAGGTAACTTCTTATGTATTTCTTATAGTTTACTGGTAAAAACTTGCAGTTTTATCCAAAATGATTTTCTTACATCGTGCAGTCATTCCTGTATTTTCTCTTTGTTACTAGGGAAACTTCTACTTACTTTTTGGGTGTTACTATAGAGCGGATGCCAGTGCCAGTTTTCTATCAAGACATAGATGACGTGTTATTGGCGTCATATAACTCCTTCACCTATCTTGAGACGTCATTAACAATGATATATTACTGCTTTCGCACAGTATGCCGACAGAGGGGGGGGGGGCATTTGCACTTTCGTTGCTTCACTAGTTCTGGTTTACAAGTCTCACTCTGGTGAAACCTGTGAACTCTTGTGAAGCTGGAGCAAGCTCGTCAAGCCATCATGGTAAAACCTGTCAACTCGAGACGTCGATGGGCCCGACAAACAGCGCTCTGATTTCTTCCACATTAGTGTGCTATTTGACACCCCATCTCTCACTTTAATAAGTACCACTGTACTGTGGATGAAGTGGCGTGTCAGGCAGTATAATGCGCCAACCACGTTCACTGCCAATTGTTGAAGCGGGTATGCGAAAAAAACTGATAGAAAACGAGTGATACGAATGACGATTACAATGTCCTTTTCCCTTTAACAACTATGGAGAGTGGGTTCGGCATCGTGCTAAACTTATCCCACCTGACACGCCCATTCGTCCGCAGCAAAATAGGCTATAACAACTACCACAATAGCCTCCATTTTTCATAGTGGCTTCTAGAATGGACAAAATTCGACAATTGTGTCAGGGCGCCGAATTGTTTGTTGCAGGCGTAATCGAGTGTCTCAAGATTTCGACGAGGGAGAAGTGTGAACGAATAGCCAAGTTCGCCTTTGACTATGCAACTAAACATGGTAGAAAGAAGGTAGTTCTTTCCAAAATTTCATGCATGATTCCCTAGAGAACTTTGGTTCATGTGGAATGCTCTCAAATTAATGTGTTTTTGATTTCTTTGCGCTTTCCTGAGGGCATATGACTAAAATTTATGGTTGTTGTGGTCTGATATTTTGTGAGAAATTACCATCTAAGAGCACTGTCACCAGCGAGCAAAGTTGCAAAGTTTTTTTTTTGTCATTTTCTTAGCTTCTACACCGAAAGCAAAACTCATTAGTTTTCAAGAATCAAGTAATATTTGCGGCCAAGACACTCGATCAGTCGGGTCACCATCTTTGCGAGCGCGGCTGCACTGCGGGCGCTACTACTTTGCAAAGTTTTGTAACTCCGATCATACTCTGAGTGTCGGTTAAATGGACCACTTTTATCGATCCCTCTATTAAAACTAGTAGTGTCGGACATCACAGAACGCCTAGTGAATCTGAATGTGCGATAAAAAACCAAAATCTAAATTTTCGTATTCCAAAAAGCTTAAAAACTCCAAAAGATCTAAAGAAGTTCTCCAAAATATTTCCATTATTTTGTATGTAGTGATTAATGAGCACTGTAGAAGTTCCTTATTCTCGTAGTACCGGTAGTACAGTAACAGTTACCGGGTACGCAACGGGACAATCCTAGTATGCCACGCTGGTGGGCTTGGCCAGTGGCGAGCGCCACACGGACGAGTTGTCTTGCCCGGCCGTTGAATTGAGCGTTAGAGGGATAGGAAAATTTGTTGATATCGCCCTTCATGGGGTCTTGTCTCCGCTCAAATTCATACGAGTTTTACCGCTCCAACTAATCGGAATATTGTCGCGCATCGTTATAGGACACTCCGCGCGGCAACGACAACGCGAATTGCGATTGTCTTGTCCGTCTCCCACAGTTACCATGCGGGGCGAGCACCATAGAAAAAAATGAACTTCGAACATATAAATTCTAACTCACAGGGAAATAGACCTTTTTTTGACGTCGTGCTTAGACATATACTTCATTTATTTCAGGTGACGGCTGTTCATAAAGCCAATATCATGAAGCTAGGCGACGGCTTATTCCTGAAAATATGTGGAGAGGTATTTTTTGCGTCAACTTTTCTATTTTTGATTCGTCACCACTTCTTGTTATGTGCATCGCACAAATTGAGCACTTTTCTTCCCAGATTGCGAAGCAGTACCCGAAGATTGAATTTGACTCTATGATCATTGACAACACTTGCATGCAATTGGTGGCGAAACCGGAACAATTTGATGTAATGGTCATGCCAAATCTTTATGGAAATATTATAGATAACCTCGCAGCAGGGTTGGTTCATTTTCTCCATGTCATCTATAAATCCAGCAGTCATATCTGAAGTACTCTTCTCAGTGGACACGGAAATAATTGATTCGATCTTTCTGTTCCCAAATTCTCCTCCCTTTCTGATTCTACTGTTCTGTTAGTCTCCTATTCTTCTAACTCGCCTGACACCTGTATCGCTCAGTTACCAACTACTCGACCTGGCCAAAAAATCTGCACCCCTGAGTACTCCGACATCCTAAATACGAATATCACATCTGCTGGGCCCAGAACCTCGCGCCTGCGCCACAGGCGCTGGTGCCAAAGCCCGGAATCGCTAAATTCGCTGAAAACTGTTCACAGGGGTAGTTTTCATTTCACGAACAGAATATCATTTCTGAATGAGATATTAGGAAAGTTCAGAGTAGGGGTACATCTAATAGTGCAGCCTGCTTTTGCTCGTTTCTGTCTGCTGCACTCTTCCCCCGAGCGATCCCTTCCGGCTGCCTACGGCTAAGCTTAGTCCAAGGGAAGTCTCACTATCACAAGCAACCAGAAACGGTTGCACTTACTCACTCTTTCAAGTGCCCTAGCATACCGCGTCACGAAACGAACAGGGGTCTGCGGCGAAATGTTTACCGTAGTGAATTACGATTAATACTAAGTTCTTTTTCTTTCTCGTATAATTATCGTTGATTCTTTTATTGATTGTGCTGTAGATCCCACGTGAACAACCCTTCCCCCTCCCGTTGGACGTGCGGTAAAACAATAGGTACTGTATACTTAGTCTGAAATACCTTGAACCTAGAAGTACAGTGGTAAAAAATTCGGTGAATCAGTTGATGTAATCTCTTGTCACCCGTGATCCATTACCACAAAATCTTTAATGAATTGGTCGTGTGGAAAAGGGCCGGCAGCCTCCTCTGCCCATATCAAGTCTGTTATCCCTCTCTGTGACCCATCAGTAATAACCCCGTCACATCCACTATATCACTTATTGGAACCAACTTCCTACTGATACTGTGACGGGCGACGCTTGAGTTTCAAATCCCCTTATCAGATCATAATAATTCTTAATGCGTCCTGCCACCCATAAATGATATTCGTGACCCATACACTACATCATATCTTAGAACTAAACGTCCCACCGATGCTGAAACCCACGTTATGAACTTGGTGACCTTCACCTAACACCCATTATCATCCCTTGTCAGCTAATATCACTTCCTGCCACCCACCAATGAAGTTCATATCCACCCCCCCCCCCTATGTCACTTCTTGCAATCAACGCTCCACCGCTGCAGCGCTTGGTGACCCTCCACTTTTTAAGACCCCATGTCAACTGCTACCACTTCCTGCCACGCATCATCCATGTTCCCTTCTCATCAAGTAAACCAAGTAATGAAGTTTTTAATTCATTCCATATCTCGTTATGTTTTGAGTGAGCCTGGCAGTGAAGGGGTCACCAGCCAGCGTAAGCAATAAGGCGGGGTTATCCCACTGGCAAGTATGCGGAGATGCGAAAAAGTAATTATAAGGTCATCTCGAACGATATCACCACTCCCCGACTTAACTGGTGTGATATTTGTGACCAGTGTGCGAACTTTGGTATATTACGGATACTTTGGCGCACAGGGCACCAGGAAGCTAGCAGGCAAGAAGGATATGAGGCGTGTCGGAGGTCAAACTACCCAGGTTATAACTTTTTGAGCCGGTCTCCATTCGGAGAAAAATGTTGGTCAAAAACTAGCCTGATTGCGATGATTAGCAGGTAAAGGGTAAATATGCCTATTTTTTCTATTCTCACATTCCTCTTCTACAATTTTCCGTGTCGCAAGGTCCAAACCTGTCATAAAAGTGTCATGGTTGAGTTAGAGCTATTATACTGTATGAGTTCCTATTACTTAGTATGCTCTGTGCAAAATGATGTGCAACTATTTATCGAAACTTCGTTGCAACAGCTGCTTCAACAGCAGCTGCTCCTCGCTACGCAATGTTTCTTTCGGCCTATGGCTTTTAATCAAGAATGATCGCTGTCGCGGGCTGAATAGTGTCCGTAATAGGGTATCCCAGTGACTGAATCCGAAATGAAGACAATTCCAGATTCTGATTCCAGATTCAAGACTCGAGCTACCTAAACTAGCTCCAGATAGGTGACAGTTTTGCTTGTGGAAAAAACTACTTAGAATTCTTTCTGCGACTCCATTGCCCCCAGATCTGATACAGAGATTTTCACAGTTCTCTACTGCCAGCAGGAACGAGATGTGTCCTGGTTTGCTGCAGAGAATGGCCAACACCTTCCAGGACAATCTTGCGTCGTCTTGAACGCACCGCCAGGAACTTTAGTAGAACTATAGAGGAAGGCAATATTTGATCTGCCAAGTACTACCTTGTCCACATACATCTTTCTGCTCGATGTTAAGGGTTAGGAGTTTGTGACGGTACACTCGTTTCCCTAGTGCTTAACAATTAGTGCTCCAAGGCATAATGTGTCGCATATAGTCTTTGGCTAGGAAGATGGTTCATTTCGGCCGTATTAAATTATTAAAGAGTTTTAGGTATTAAAAGGGTTTTTATGACTTATTTTCTGTTTTTATTTCGCGAAGATGGTTTGTTTATAGTCTTGTTGGTGGTGCTGGTGTGGTTACTGGTCAATCAGTCGGGAGCGACTATGTCATATTTGAGCCAGGAAGTCGCCATTCTTTCCAAGAAGCTCTAGGAAGGTATGTCATTTTAAATAATTGTAGGTTTCCTAGATTAGGTTTCTGAAAGGTAAACATCAGGTCAATCGCTAATCCGACGGCAATGATCTTGTGTGCGGCAAATATGCTCAATCATCTTCACCTCACCGATTACGCCATGGCTTTACGAGCATCTGTGGAGAAAGTGATTCGTGATGGAAAAGTGCGCACTAGAGACATGGGAGGGTGAGTCTTTGGTTAGGCTGGCTTTTTTTTCTCTCGTGATCCATACTGAACGTATGTGTAACTCTTTGTTCTAGTCAAAAATTGGCTGGCACAGAGTACAACGTGATTGATAATAATTGTAAGAGGTGCGTTCATACTTTGCGACAGTGTTTTTAGCGTCTGTCAGCGTTTTGAACATGCATCGGCGCTCTGAGCAGTTTGAGCGGCTAAGCGTTGCGGGCGTTAGGAAAATGTCGGTATGAAGTCAGCATTTTGGCGTCCACCAGCGTTTTCAGCGATCACTATACTTTCTAGTCGCTCAAAAAGCTTAAAGGCAATTGGCACGATAAATCCCTAAGACGAGTAGGATTGATACGCCTGGCAGGACGGAATTCCGCGACCCTGAGCAGGCGCTGCGTAGCGCCTTTTCCAAGGAAGGTACCCTTATAAGGGCCCTATCAAGCTACAACATACCGACCCGAACGCCCACCACGCCCGCCCGCCCACAAATGGACGACCGTACCTGATGCTCGTATTGCTTCATTTGCGAAGTAAAATATGAAGCGAAGGGATTGGTATGAAGCGGCCGCGGTGCTGCATGGATATATGAGTACATACGTGCAGCCGTACCTACCGTAGCGGTTATTGGCAAGGATGCCTACGGGAAACTCGTCCAAAATTGCTTTTTGAGTCATTAAGAACCAAGTCTTTGCCAAGATTTTTGAC